GCAGGAGAGATACATTATCCTCATGACGAATTTGAGGCTCAGAGATACGGGTATTGCCCTAGATGACATGGCAAGTTTATGGTAGAGCAGATTAACAATTTAGGTTATCTTTTTAAGATTCCCCCAAACATTCTTTCTTCCTTCCTTTGGCTCCAAGGAGTAGTGAGTTGGGAGTAGTGAGGAATATGGAGGCAGGAGAGACTCAAACACCCAATACCGGTATTCCCATTTTGCCTCTTCAGCCATTTTCTCTAACACTTGTGAGGTTTGGGATTGGCACAGACATTTCCCTGAATGGATCAAATATATTTTCCATCAGTGCATATATAATGGAACCGCATATAAAACAACTGTCTTAAATTTTTTCTTTCTGAGTCAATTTACTCTGAGACAGTTCAATCACAACCTATTCTCTCCATTCTAAGAGTAAAAATCTCACTGCTACAAAAATAAGCAAAGCTGATGACATATAAAAGGAAATTGAAACAATCATGAGATCTAGTTAGACCTTTGACTAGATTTAGTGCACACCTGGCACCATGCAGACATTGTAATCTTCTTGCTCCACCAACTGGAGGACAATATAAAATTTACAGCAATTAATTTAATGGAAAAATTGCCTCCTAATAATCTTAAATCAAAGTCATCAGCCTATACAAAAATATCAACAATCTTAATTAGTTCGTTCTAACAACTCTTGCTGTTATGTTCCATCACATTGCAAACAACTCACAGCTGATCCTCCAGCAGCAGGTGGTGGATTTGAACCACATGTCTTTGAGTGGGCAGCACAACTCCTTACCCACTAGGCAACCAGAGCTCCATAATTTAACTCTTATGTGGTTGAAAAGTCTGTGATGGTATAAGAGTAAATAGCCAAATCAAAAGCCAGTCAGACAGTGAGAAGAAAACAATATCTATTCATATTCATATATCTATGAATATGAATATATATGTATGAATATAATGTTGGTTTGGGTGCTGTCAAATACATTTTCAATTCATAGCATCTCCATGTGCTGGAGTAGAACTGCCCCATAGGGTTTCATAGGCTGCAATCTTCGTGGAAGAAGATCTTTCTTCCATGGAGCAGCTGGTGGGTTTGAGTATTTTGTGCCACCAGGGCTCACTTTAGAAATGAAAGAATCCTCTTTAGAGTCTCATTTTAGAAATGAAAGAATCCACTAATACGTATGTATAAATGACATGAGACATTAAGAGATGTTAATCAAACACTCAATTTGGAAGGGAGGTGGTTAACTACAAAACTTGCCAAATGCTACTAATGATCAATGATTTTCTTGTTATTCACCCTGTTATCATTTATTTTTCATACACTCTCTCTCTTTCTATCTCTGAGATGTTTCTAAACTCGAGATTTACTACATGCACTTTCTAAGGTAGATGAAGAAATAGGAGGTTAACACAAAAGCCAGTAAAAGTTAGAAAGCATGCTAACTACATTTTATTTGCAAAATTCAAAAGCATGTTACTGGCTATCTAGTATACTAATTGTTGGTGCCCTTTCCCAGTTTTGGTGAGTAATGTTCTCTATACAGGTGATTGATAGAAGTTAATGGTTCTTTCAGACACTTGCTCATATACTGTGTTGACACACATGCATATATGCATGTATGTGTGTATGTATATATGTGTGTGTGTATACACACACACACACATATATCCATACAAGTGTCACTGCATCACAAGAAGACCTCCACTAGTGAGTTTTTCCCTTCATATATTTCTACTCACAAAAATGAGCCCAGATAATGACTTTAGAATAGGAAACAAAACTAGAGAGAAAAAAAATCAGTGTGAAGTGGTACGCTGTCCAATGGAATAACTCAATGCAAATTTATGTAGTGGTAAAGTGCTAGAAAGTCCTTTCATTAGTATTTTAAAAATGGTTATAGTAAAAAGAAGTTTGCAGATTCATTTGATGGTAGTAACCACAGGCACCATTGCAATGGCACTGGCTGAGTTGGAGTTAACGATGTCCTCATACTCTGGGGGTGGGTCTAAATGAGGTTCCGTTTCACTCCTGCGAAGGGTCACCTGGCCAGTGGCCTCTTCATAGGTTGGTGGGGGTTCACAGTTGGATAGACGGGTGGAGACAGAATCTGAACGACCAACTACATATTCCAGAAAGCCTGGAGACAGCCCACTGCTATCATACATTTCGTCTGGCTGGGAAGGAGGGGTGATGATATTAAGATGCTGAGGAAAAGGAATGTGGCCCTCCGTCACTGTTTGTCTGCGAGTTTTGTTTCTCAGGAAGCATCTCCAGATTAAGAAGATGACAAGAAGGATGATGAAAAGGCCAAAGATTAACGGAAAGGTCAGGTAGAATTGAAACCAGTCACTTCCTCTGTTATTCTCCCCCTGGTGCGCTTTTGTGTAGGTGCTCCAAAATTCTTTCTGAAAATGCAAGACAAATCAGGAATTAATACAATGATGAGAAATATCAGATAATTAACTGTCAGGCTTCAATAAACATTAATATGCCATAAAGCCCAAACCAGATTTGTTGGTTTAAATAACCAGTAGCCTATAGTTTTTATGATCCCCACAAAATCACAAATAAATCATGGTGCCCAATCTGTATGCTCCTTAAAATGGTTAGTAAGAATCTCTGAGTCTTTTTCAAAACATGGAATTATGATGGTTTAGAGGAAAAAAATAAGGAATAATAGGTTTCTTCTTTCTTGTTTCCACCAAATAATTTTCTGTGAAATATACAACACAAAATTCATTCTCCATGTCCAACTATGAGGTTCTGATCATATTTTCTGCATCATCTCATCATTAACCC